AGGAAACAGGAATGGCTTTTAGTGAAATTTGTAGAGTTTGTTTAAGCGTTAATGTACGCATGTGTGTACTAAAAAAGACTGGCCTAGAAATTTTGTATAAAACATTGTCGAACAGTTTTGTAAGTTTGTTATTACTTCTTCTTTTGCATTATTCATTATGAATATTTTCATATTTAAGCTTATCCCGTCCGATGACCAACAAAACTAACTATCCCGATGCATAAACTTACATACTACTCGGATTCCTTCACGGTATCATCAACATCATCAACACTTTGGAATAACCTTCCACGAGATTTAAAAGATGCTCCTATAATAAATACATTTAAACGTAAGCTTGAGGGATATTATACACACACACATATATATATATATATATATATATATATTAGTATGAATAAATAAGGTGGTTTTTTTTCTCGCGGCTTTACCCATAGCTCTCACCACTAGTGTTGCCAGGTGTCCCGATTTGCGCGGGATGTCCCGATTTTCAAGGATCTGGTGACACGTCCCGATTCACCCTTGATCGGGATGCCTAATGTCCCGATTTTCACTAACCTTCTTAGTCTATACTTTAATCCATAATTTTGACAGCAAAAATGATTACATCTGTTATTACTACTACATTAAAATATTTTTACTACGACATTTATTCACCAGTGGAGAAAAAAAAAAACACAAAAGTTTTAAACAGAATTATATCGAAATGAGTGAATTGAAAAATTCAGAGACTGCAAAAAAAAACAAATAGGTAGTTCAAAAATTTTTGATTTGCCTAAAACGAAAAACATAGACGAAGCAAATGCAGTTTTTACGATGATGTTTGGATGAAAAGTTTTTCATTCATGAAATCAGACCTGAATAATAATTATAAAACACAAAAAGGCTACACAAAACCTGTATTTTGTAGCCATTGTAGCTGTCCTGATGTGAAGATTAAATTCCCAATTATTTTTACCTTTTGTCCCGAAATTTTACTTGCTAGACCTGGCAACACTACTCACCACACTACAAAAGGTTAGCTGGCAGAGAATGCCTTTTGTTATTATTAATGAACTCCAAATAGTTCAAAACCTCTTCTGTCGTCGAGCTGCGAACGCACCTTGGTACGTCCGTAATGCCGACCTTCATCGGGACCTAGAGCTCCCAACAATTCAACAATTTCTTAAAAAACTCTCTGAGAACTTCTTCAGAGCCTCAGAGTCGCACCCAAAGCAATTAATTCGTGAGGCAGCTACCTATGCAGCCCCACCCCCCTCTCGCTATCGAGTCCGCAGGCCGAGAAACTCTCTCTCGGACCCGCCTAATAAACTGACAAACGACCTGAACTGCCTCCTGGCGGCTCAGGCCAACTCTAATTAAATTAAATTATTGTATTAACTAATATTAATTTGCCTTCGTAGGCACTCCCTCAGCGGCTCGTAGCCGCCTGCGCCCTCTTTTAAAGAGGGTCGCTCACGATAAGGCACAATACAGCTTAATCAGCCGGCTGCCTGTCCCCAAAGGCGGTTTTTAGAGGGTATCACTTAGGGTCCCCGGTAGGACAGTGAGTCCCTCATAACCACAATAGACCAGCTATCGTGGTATGTGTAATGTATTTTCCGCCTCCCTACGTATAGGGTAGCCCTTTAATTGCTTCGGGCGCAAAAAAAAAAAAAAAGAATGCCTTTTCGGCATTAAGTTCGCCTTTGTGCCGAATTGTTTGAGTGCAATAAAGAATTCTCTATCTATCTTCTATTGCAAATTGAAGTTGCAGTAATTTCTTGTTATTGCTGGAGAAATACATTATAACTTACCTGATATAAAATGCGGTATTTTATTTTAAAACCTATGTATTTTTTTAAACTTTCATTAAAAACCAGTTTGTATTTGTATTTGAAATAATAAAAAAAAGCATAAAAAGCATTTGCATTTTGAATTTAAATATTTTTAATAAACTATTTTGCATGTCTGTGGTTTCAAACTTTTGGTTGTACTATTTTATTTGTTTACCCAATCTGTTCTAAAATTGGTTAATATTTTTGTGATTATATCACTTTTGATAGCAACTAGTTTTATACTTCAACCACCCTTTGGTAATTTTGTGACCCGGCTTTAGTTAATTTGAAGTGATGCCTCTGAGATGTGTGTTAATTGGGTACTGGAATAATAGTTTGTTAAATATTTCTAAATCATAGTGTCCATGTATTATGTTTTCATCAAGTCTCCTCATTTTCTGTGATCTTTCAGTTGTAAGTTTAAGTGTTTTCAGACTTTCCTCATATGGTATGTTTTCAATGCTCTAGGAACTTTTGAATATCTGTGTTGAACCTCTCCAGTAACTCAGTATAATTTGAAAGGCACATTCCAAAACAGGTTGAATATATGTTTTATATATTTTAAGTATAATTTTTGGTGTTATTATTATTTGCCACAGTTGCCACCCTAGGCTAGGCAGGTTGGCAACTGCAGTTTTTTAATTATTCTGTTATGTGCATAATGCTGCTGCCCATATTCTTATGCAATAAAACAATCTATTGTTAGATGTTCAAACTTATCTCGAACTTACTTTATACTGCAGTTGATATTAAATCAAAACGGTTAAAACTGCTCAGGGAAGTATTTGATTAACTTTATTTGACTAATTGAAGTGACTTAATAGTTAAAGGCACTCAAAAAGATTCATTAGAAAAAGCAACATTTTCAGTTTACATGTAACAAATAAGAAAAGTTTTTATAATGTTAATGTTGAGGCTAGAAGTTTAAAGTTAAAATATAAATGAAAGCTTAGTAGGCTAGAATTTTGAAAGCCCAAACTTGAAAATACTTCTGCTGCTTTAAAATTTTATCTGTTAATGTCATGCAGACTCCTACTTACTTGACACTCATAACATTTTAAATTAATTAGAGATTTGTGTCCATATATTAACCGCATGCAGAAAGTTTGGCGATGACATCATGACATCACTTATCAATCATTAGTAAAACTTAACTAGAAATATATGAATAATTTTGGAGCGAGAGCAATAAATTCAAAGATGTTGCACATGTGAGCGCATAACTGTATTGCAAACAGTTCTGACTAGGTGAGCGTGGGACGCGGTCGGCAGAGGTGAGATGAATAGTCGTAGGCAAATTTTTCTGGCTCATACCTTGCAGAACTATCAACAGATGGAGAAATCTAAATCTCGAGTGCTCCAGCTTCAACTAGTAAGCAAATTGAAGAGTGGCCTCTCATAATTTTGATCTTTGGTTTCTTCATCATTAGCCAGATTAGAGAATTGTGGTGTTATCAGCGAATCTTAGATGGTTTATGATATCATTTATTATTGATTTCCAGTGCTTTCCAGCACCCATGCTTACAGGGGACCAAAGTGACTGACGTCTAACTGTCAATGTTAACCCAGAGTACCATCAGCTTTTTAACTATTATTGATGGTGATGAAGTCAAGCAGGGCTATGCTTGGGTTTAGTTTTCATTTTATTTATACCCAGCCTCCTCTATTGAAATGAAGATGTTTTCAAATTTCAATAGCCTCATCTATCTTCCTTGGTAGGAATCAATGTCCTTTTGTGAGGATTTGTGGTCTATCAAATCTGATTTAATGGCGGAGGATATGATCACAAACTGCAGACTTCCTGAAATATTGCTCCTTCACTTCAGCTATACATTTTTACGAGGGCTCTAAATTATCATTTTGTTTGCTCTATATATGAGAGACCACATTCACAACCAAGCTTTTACACACCTGCATCTTGTAGAGGTATATGATACTTGACGAATGGTAAGAATGGACTAATCTTATTTGGCGATAAGATGAAGCCAATCTTGTCTGTGACATCTCTGACGTATGGTACTACACCAGGCACACACTCGACTGTGCTTGGCTCCACTCGGTCACTATGATGTAGGCTTGTTGCTTGTGGCCCGAAGCTTGTCGCGCTGAACGTTCATGTTGTGCTGAAGCTCGGCGGCCAGGTGTTTGCTCTGTCTAGGAGTCTGTCTGTGTAGTGATCATCCTCTTACGTATTGCTGCCACAAGCAGCAGCGTGTGTCCCAGTGTGGAACACATTAAGAGCCAGTACATTAACAGGCTGTGAAGCATTACATCTTAGCTCTCAGAGGTAACATCGCATCTGTAGCCTTTGCTTGAAGTTCGTTGCAGGTGCTTGTGGACTCCATCAGCCACTCACCATCAGGTGTATTGTAAGTTTATTTGATACTTCAATGTTATAAAAAATCGGTCAAGTACGAGTCGGACTCGCCCATGAAGGGTTCTGTACCATTGTAAAAACACATTTTTAGTAGGGTAGCCCGGTAGTTAGTAGTAGGTTTTCTTTTTGTTATTTGTAGTTATGGCGGCAACAGACATACATGTTCTCTGAAAGTTTCAAACTCTACCTATTACGGATCATGAGATAAAGCCTGCTGTCAGACAGACGTGGTAGAGACATGCCGCTTATATTAGTAGTCCAGTTGTAGCATGAATGGTATTTTAATGCTGCTTGTAAAATAGTAGCTTAATGCTGCTTGCTTCATATGGTAAGTGTAGAGAACCGGAGACCCTTTTTACTGGAAACGAGGCATACCATCTTAGTGCTCACGGGTGACAATGCATCTGCATTTTGATTAGTAATCGAGGATAGATGTAGATGTCATGGGCCACAGCAACCACTTACCATCAGGTGGACTGTGTGCTCGTTTGTCACCCTATCCTATAAAAAAGAGAAGGACGGACCACAGTGGCTTAGTAATAGGGTCACACTGATTACCCTATGTGTAGGGAACCCTAAAAAATAATTTTGATGAAGAGAATTGTGGTAACCAATAGATTACAAACTTGTATATTTAAGTAGTTTTCCATACTTATGATGAACATTCATATTTTCAGGTGGATGAGGGTGAGGAGCCCATAATTGTCTGTTTCATCTGTCATGCAAGACTTCTTCGATGCAGGAGATTGCAACAACAGGCTATTGAGTCAAATGCAGTTCTGGAGCAGTTGCTTGCAGGAGGGTCCATGGTATTATTTATTCCATCCATTAAAACCTGTAAACGTCCCTCGTAGATTTTGCCAAATTTACCACGCTTGGCAGGTTAGCAGCCACAGTTTATACTAGTCTGAGAAGTTATCAGCAAGATGCCGCTGCCCAACTCCTGTTTCTGTTTCCCTCTGCCGCCTCTTGCGACACCCGTCCCGTGGGTAGGTATACAGGGCAGTGGATATTCTTACACCGCCACTACGTGGTCCACGTTATTATACTTCTTATAAGTAACGTTCACTGCTTGATGGTTCATTCCCACCTTGATGATCACTACCAATCATGTGCCTTCAATGCTGCTTCCCATTGCCATACGAAAGAATGATCTTTCTACTGCAAAGTTAATGTTATTAAAGCAATGTTCTATATTTTACGAATTACACTGAGTTACTGAGTAGTAAAGCAGGTAAGGCTGCCGGATATGATAGAGTTTCACTCGAAATGCTAAGGGCTGGAGAGGAAGTGGTGGCAGGCCTGCTGCACACCTTGTTTAATTTATGCTGGGAACTGAAGCGGGTACCGGGAGACTGGTGCAAAGTCGTGATAGTCCCAGTATATAAGGGAAAAGGGTCGCAGCAGGACTGTAAAAACTACCGCGGTATCAGCCTTCTTAGCATCGTGGGAAAACTGTATGCCAAGGTACTAATTGAAAGGGTCATGAAAGAAACCAATGGAAAAATTTGGGATGTGCAAGCGGGATTTAGAAAGGGAATGGGATGTACAGATCAAGTCTTCTCCATGCGCATGATCGCGGAAAAGTTTTTGGCCAAAAACCAAAAGGTTTTTTGTGCGTTCATGGACTTGGAGAAGGCCTATGACAGAGTGGATAGGAATGTGCTATGGCAAACACTGAACTCATTTGGGTTGAGCGCTGGCTTGATACAGGCATTGGAATCTCTTTATAGGGACTCTAGTGCTTGTGTTAGGATCAACGGGGTCTACTCTGACTGGTTTGGCATCCATAAAAGTGTCAGACAGGGCTGTGTGGCTTCCCCGTGGTTGTTCAACCTATTTATGGATAGTTGTTTGCAAAATTTGAAAGTTGAACAATGCGGATTAAGAATGGGTGAGTTAACCATCAAATGCCTTTTGTACGCCGATGATCAATTTATTCTTGCGTCGTCGGCGGCTGAGTTGCAAATGATGGTTACATTAATGAACAGATCATTAAAAGAAAGGGGTATGAAAGTAAACGCAAGTAAGACAAAAATTATGGTTTTTGAAAGAGATGAAAGTAAAACGATATGTGAAATAAGAATAGAAGGGAAGTTGATCGAGCAAGTAGATGAGTTTGTATATTTGGGTTGCGTATTTAGCAGGGATGGGAGATATGATAAGGATATAGAACGACGAGTGAACGCAGGAAACAGAGTAAATGGAGCCCTGCACTCTATTGTGAAGAGTCAAAATGTGTCAAAAAAGGCACGTATAGCAATTCACAATGCTGTGTTGGTCCCTACTTTAACGTATGGTAGTGAAAGTTGGGTATGGCAGAAGAAGCACGAGAGTAGAATAAATGCAGTAGAAATGCGGTCGTTAAGGAGTATGTTAGGGCTGAATCTGATTGACAGGGTGAAAAATTGTTTGATAAGAGAAGAGTGTGGTTTGTAAGATGATGTTGTGACCAGGATTAAGAAAGGAATGCTTCTGTGGTTTGGTCATGTGGAAAGAATGGATGAGGAAAGAGTGACAAAGAAAATTTATGTTGCAGAAGTGAATGGCAGAGTCGGAAAGGGACGTCCTAGGCGAAAATTTATCGACCAAATTGGCGATTTATTGAAAACGGGCCAAATTAGGAGTACCCTTAACTGACGAGCATGCATGCGTAGATGTATGGATGTGAAGGAGGCGAGAGAGGTGTGTCAGGATCGTGCCAAATGGAAGTCTGTAGTCTCTGCCTACCCCTCTGGGTGACAGGCGTGAGTGTTTATGTTTACTGAGTAGTTTATTAACACTAATTATGTAACTTTATTATTTTATATATAATGTATTATATATTATATATAAAATAATAAAGTTACATTAAAAAAGGGAATATTATCTACATATAGGTAATACATATTAGTAAACAAATATTGATCTTTGTCAATTTACATTCATAAGTCTGAAACGATTGATTGTTGAGACTCAATACTTGGGATGGATGAACTATCTACATTCTTATTTAAGTTTATTCTGAATATTCACATTTATCGGGTTTTCATTATTAGTACTTGTTGTCGGGAAGTGCTGCTGCCCATCTCATGTTTCAGTTTCCTTCTGTCCCTTCTTACGACATCTGCGGGGTGGTACGGGGCAGTGTGTGTTCTCCTACACCACCACTACACTGGATTTAGTAAAATAATTTGGTTTCAGGTAATACCAGAATCACATGAGGCTAGAGATGACATTCAATTCACAACAATTAATCATGTAGATATCTGGCCAGTAGAGTGTGATATAGAAAATGATTGTAATGATAACATTTTTAGCCTTGAATCTGTTAAAGCTGAGGAAGAGAATTTCGAATATGAGAATTCCAAATTAGAAGTAAATGGGAATCATGAGAAAGGTAAGATTCCTTTTTTTGATATTATTAAAATAAAGTACAATTTATCTTATGACAAGTAGTTACTGTAGCCCATGAACACAAAATAAAGATGGCAAAGTGCATGTAAAACGCAATCATGGACATCATAATAAGTATTGTTAGACATTTTCCTTTATAATAATAAGGATGGCAAAGTGCATGTAAAATGCAATCATGGGCATCATAATAAGTATTGTTAGACATTTTCCTTTATAATAATAAAGATGGCAAAGTGCATGTAAAACGCAATCATGGGCATCATAATAAGTATTGTTAGACATTTTCCTTTATAATAATAAAGATGGCAAAGTGCATGTAAAATGCAATCATGGGCATCATAATAAGTATTGTTAGACATTTTCCTTTATAATAATATAGATGGCAAAGTGCATGTAAAATGCAATCATGGGCATCATAATAAGTATTGTTAGACATTTTCCTTTATAATAATAAAGATGGCAAAGTGCATGTAAAACGCAATCATGGGCATCATAATAAGTATTGTTAGACATTTTCCTTTATAATAATAAAGATGGCAAAGTGCATGTAAAATGCAATCATGGGCATCATAATAAGTATTGTTAGACATTTTCCTTTATAATAATAAAGATGGCAAAGTGCATGTAAAACGCAATCATGGGCATCATAATAAGTATTGTTAGACATTTTCCTTTATAATAATAAAGATGGCAAAGTGCATGTAAAATGCAATCATGGGCATCATAATAAGTATTGTTAGACATTTTCCTTTATAATAATAAAGATGGCAAAGTGCATGTAAAACGCAACATGGGCATCATAATAAGTATTGTTAGACATTTTCCTTTATAATAATAAAGATGGCAAAGTGCATGTAAAATGCAATCATGGGCATCATAATAAGTATTGTTAGACATTTTCCTTTATAATAATAAAGATGGCAAAGTGCATGTAAAATGCAATCATGGGCATCATAATAAGTATTGTTAGACATTTTCCTTTATAATAATAAAGATGGCAAAGTGCATGTAAAACGCAATCATGGGCATCATAATAAGTATTGTTAGACATTTTCCTTTATAATAATAAAGATGGCAAAGTGCATGTAAAATGCAATCATGGGCATCATAATAAGTATTGTTAGACATTTTCCTTTATAATAATAGAGATGGCAAAGTGCATGTAAAACGCAATCATGGGCATCATAATAAGTATTGTTAGACATTTTCCTTTATAATAATAGAGATGGCAAAGTGCATGTAAAACGCAATCATGGGCATCATAATAAGTATTGTTAGACATTTTCCTTTATAATAATAAAGATGGCAAAGTGCATGTAAAATGCAATCATGGGCATCATAATAAGTATTGTTAGACATTTTCCTTTATAATAATAAAGATGGCAAAGTGCATGTAAAATGCAATCATGGGCATCATAATAAGTATTGTTAGACATTTTCCTTTATAATAATAAAGATGGCAAAGTGCATGTAAAATGCAATCATGGGCATCATTATAAGTATTGTTAGACATTTTCCTTTATAATAATAAAGATGGCAAAGTGCATGTAAAACGCAATCATGGGCATCATAATAAGTATTGTTAGACATTTTCCTTTATAATAATAAAGATGGCAAAGTGCATGTAAAACGCAATCATGGGCATCATAATAAGTATTGTTAGACATTTTCCTTTATAATAATAAAGATGGCAAAGTGCATGTAAAACGCAATCATGGGCATCATAATAAGTATTGTTAGACATTTTCCTTTATAATAATAATAATAATATAGCCATTTATTTCCGAACTTTGGGGTTACATAATATTTGTGTTTGAGTTCCTATTGTAATACTAGTTAAAGTAAGTCCCTCAGTTCGGTGTGCCTTTTGGCATAGGCCTCCTCCAACTGCTTCCATTGGGTTCTGTCTGCTGCTACCCTTGTCCAGTATGGTCCCAAGGTTAGGCGGATATCGTCTTCCCATCTTCTGATTGGGCGGCCCTGTTTTCTGACGCCATCTCTTGGGTACCATAGGGTTACCTGCTTGCTCTATTTATTGGTCTTTCAACGAATCATGTGACCTGTCCAGCCCCATTTCAGATGGTCGATTCGGGTCAAAATGTCAGCAACCTTGGTTTTATTTCTTATTTCCTTGTTGTTAATTCTATCCTTGAGTTTTATTCCCAACATACTCCTCTCCATTGCTCGTTGACATTTCGCGAGTTTCTCCCGGTGGTTTTGGTTGAGCGACCATGTCTCACAACCATATGTGATGCAGGGGAGAATACAGGTGTTAAATGTTTTCTTCTTGATAGAGTATTTTTTCCAACCACTAGCAATCCTTTTGTTTGTTTTAGATGTTTGGTCACTAGGGGCAATTACTTGACCCAAGTACACATTCAAGTCTTTTTCCATCTAATTCTATGTTGACTTTTGTAGAGTTGGTCATCAGTTTTGTTTTGATTGTGTTCATTTCGAGACCTGCTTCTTTGCTTCTGTTGGCTAGAGTGTACCATTGCTTGTAGTTTACTTGGGTCTTTTTCCAGCAAGATAATATCGTCAGCAAACCTCAAATGATTTAAAAGACTGCCATTGATGTTGAGGCCATATTCATCCCAGTCTAGTCTTCTGAAGATATCCTCCAGCACAGCCGTAAACAGTTTGGGGGACAGTGGGTCTCCTTGTCTGACGCCTCTATTAATGGGAAATAGGTCTCCTTTCGATTCCAGTTTGATGCGGCTTTTGCTCATGCTATAAATGTTCTGAGTATCTCAATATAGGTATTATCTATTCCTTGCCATCTCAAAGCTGACCAAATGTATTTATGTTTCAAACTGTCAAATGCTTTTGAATAGTCTATAAAAGCTATGTAAACGGGTTTTTGGTATTAATTACTTTTTTCCAATATTTGTTTGATAGTGTGAATGTGTTCAATTGTGCTGTAATTTTTTCTGAAGCCTGCCTGCTCTATGGGTTGATTTGCGTCTAGAGTTTTTGTAATTCTTTCTAGCAATACTTTTGCGAACACCTTGTAGACGTTTGAGATCAAACTAATTGGTCTATAATTGTCAATGACTTCCCTAGGCTTTTTTTATGCAGGAGAATTATGTGGGACTCCCCCCACTGATTTGGAATGACGTCCGACTAGAGTATGTCGTTAAATATCCTGGTGAGAATTGGAGCCAGTTCCTCTGCCGTGCCCCTCATGAGCTCGTTTGGTATGTTGTCCGGCTCTGGAGCTCCCTCTAGTTTTTGAGAGTGTATGGCTCTCTTTACCTCAGCTATAAGTATGGGCGGTACGTCTTGATATCTATTTGTTGGCGACTTATTGGTTTCTAATTCATGGTCTTCATTTATATTCGAGTAGAGAGCTTTATAATATTTCGTAGCTAATTTCTGAATTTCTTTACGTTTTGTTACATGACTGGATTTGTTGCTTTTAAGTCTAGGAATCCATTCCTTTCCATGGTCCTTACTCCTTAAAAGCTTTTTTTGTTCCGCCTGTTCTTTTAATTGTGTCTTCTAGTTTTTTAATTATTTTTATCTTCCTGTCTTTTCTCATACTTTCCTGTATCTGTTTGCTAAGGTTGGAAATTCTGTTAAGGTTTTCTTTACTTTTATTTTTATTTAGAATTAGTAATTTTCTTTCTTCTAACAGCTCTATTGTTTTGTCACTGAATTTGTTCCTGTCCTTTTTCGTAGTTATTTTCTTAATTTCTGATAGTTTCTTGTCTAGGTAATCATATTTAACTCGAACACTCAAATCGGAGTTAGCAATTTCATGCAGTGGCATGATGTGAGCTGGTTCAATATTTTTCGAGTACTCTTCTTGTAGGAATATCGGAGTGTTTGTTATAGCTTTCCTCGACTTTTTTGTTGGATACATCTTTAGGCGTCCGCGCACCATTCGGTGGTTAGTGTTGAAATTCAAATTCTGTATAACTTGTGCATCATTAAAATACCTTACTCTGTTTGTTAAAATAAAATCAATTTTGTTTTTATATTTCCCACCGGGAGACATCCAGGTTGTCGTAAAGCGACAGTTAAAAACTAAAGAACCTAACCTAACAACGAAACAACCAAAAAGAAAATAATTTATTTAAAATCTGTTAAGATATTTACAGCTTTTTTATATAAAAAAAAGTTATGAGGGTGATGATGGGCTGTAGTGATGATAGTGAATTACAATTTTTTTTTAATAAAAAAAGAAAATCACAAAGATAAATTGAGTACTAAAACGATGTATGTACAGGCTATGCCTGTGGTAGATGCACAGCGCCTAATCTAAGTACACGCAGCGCTTGAAGTAGGCACACACAGCGACCAGAATGAGCACACACAACACCCGGAGTAGACACACACAGCGCCTGGAGTAGACACGCAGCGTCTGGAGTAGGTCCACGCAGCGTCTGGAGTAGGTACACACAGCGTATTGAGCAGGTACACGCAGCACTTAATGTAGGCACACACACACCGCTCGGAGTAAGCACACACAACGCCCGGAGTAGACACAAACAGCGCCCGGAGCGCCGGAGACACGCAGCGTCTGGAGTAGGAACACGCAGCGCTTGAGACAAGCACGCACAGCGGCCGAAGATAGCGCGGGCACTAATAGGTGGAGGCGTAGGCGTGGCTAGGCGACGACTTCAGGAGAAGGCAGAGGCTTGCAAGATCCCGAGGCAGTGCGGATAAAGCCTTTAAGAGGTGCTTCTCGTATCAAAGCTGAAGTGAGAACCTCTATTGGCCGATTCTTCGGCTTTATACTTTTTGACGGATCTGGGATAAGAACGAGAAATTATTTGAAATTATTTAAATTAAAAGTAAATTTTTGTAAATGGCCAAGAAGAAAAGAGTACTTTTGAAGTAAAAACATCAGGCCGGTAACAATATTTGAATAAAAATTGCCATGACAACCAGATAAACAACGATGTCAAAACATGTCAAATTTTGGTTTTAGGCTCGTAATAGAGAAACGGCAAGATTTAAGTGAAAAATGAGATATTA